CACACATGTATATGTATACTTTTAAAATGGAAACATACTATATTCTTCTGTAACTTCCTTTTTCATTTAACAATATAGCTGTTTATTTCAATAAATATACATCTAGTACTTACTCTTAATTGGTGCACAGTATTCCATTGAAAGGATATACCATATTTAACCAACCCTATGTCATAGGCTTACTTATATTTTTTCCATTCCTCCAAATAATGCTCCTATAAACATCCTTTTTTTCATGTATTTTTTGAATAATGAATGAATGTATCTTGATTCATTTTTCTTGACTTTTTTTGAGGAGAATTTCCCTAAAGTGGAAGTATCTGGCATACACAAAAAATATATTGCCAAAATATTTTCCAGAAAGATCGGATCAATTTATACCCTTGTTGACTCTGTAAGAGAATGTTCATTTCCATACTTCCTTGTTGTCCCTGGGAACTATAATTCTTTATACCCTTTGTCCTTCTGATACATAAAAAGGAGTATATTATAATAATTTGCATTTTTGATTTCTAGTTAAGTATTTTCATATTTATTATTAGTTCATTACTTTAATTTATAGTACACTGCCAGTTTGTATCCTTGGCTCAATGTTCTACTGGGAAGTCTGATTCTTTTTGATCATAAAATGTTATTTAGTCATGCATTCATTATTCACTCACACAATAAATATGTTTTCAGTATTTGCTTTGTGTCTAGCACTGTGTTAAGTATTGAGGATATAACAGTAAGCGAAATAGACGTAGTTGCTGCTTTCTTGAACTTCCAGTGTAGTGAAGATGAACAGACAAACAAGCAATAATTTTAAAAGGGCAATGAGGAAACAATGAAATGGGAACACTTAGTTGGGAAAGTTGTAGATCATAGAAAATTCCCAAGGGTAATGGAGTTTAAGCTCTTGATATATATTAGAGATCCATGCTCTTTGTTGCATATATTTCAAATTTTGTTTTCTCTTAATTTGGTTTGTTATTTTTTACCATATAAGAGTTCCGTGTTTTTAATTGGTCAAATATATCCATCTTTTTCTTTTTGGTTTCTTCCTTTGTTGTCGTGCTTAGAAAGGCTTTTTTTTTTTAATGGTAAAATCACGTAAATATTTGTCAATATTGTCTGCTAGTCCTTTTATATGCTTATGTGCTTTAACATCTAAATCTTAACTTCACCTAGAATTTCTTTTGATGGAAGTTATGAGGTATAGATCTAGTATTTCCCCCAATAAATGGCCAACAAGTCATCCCAAGTTATTTAGTAATCCAACCTTTTTTCACAGATTTGAAATACCATCTTTATACTGCACTCAATGCTTCTATGTTCTTGGGTTTATTTCTGATCTTTATATTTAATTATAATGATTTATTACGGGCCTATAGCATCACTGGTTTTTCTCATCCTATCTATAGTTATATGAAAGCTGAGCATTTTGCACCTGATGACGTTCTAGAACACAAAGAAACGATAGACAGTGCTTAGGTATGTGCGTGTGGCATGGAAGTGAGTCTGGATGATATTCTTAATCCTTTCCACTTTGAGACTTCCAGGATCTGAATTCCATATGGGATATTGTTAATCTGGCCCACTGTTTGCTGTCTAAAATAAATGAGAAGCTTTTACACCCTGTGCATTTATTTTCCCTTCTTATTCTGAAGCTCAGCATTCGGTAGGTGGCAGTATTGTCATATAGTAAGTATCCAACAGTTAGCGGAGCACCGAGGAACAAAATCATCTGGAAGGATTTTAGAATTTCCCTAAGAGGTTTCATGAGAGGAGGCATCAGGGCTGTGCTACTTCTAAAGTCTTCTTTGTACCCTTGAACAATGGCTCAACCAGAAGTTTGAGCTGATCTGCTCCTAGAGGCATGCAAAACATCAGCGGACAGATATTTTAAAGTGATACCTCGACCCTGTGGGCATATGCTCACGTACCTTCTCCACAAGTGCCTTTGGGCCCAGCCACTGACTGACTTAAAGCCTGGAAATGTGGTTTTAAACAATATGACTGTGGTGGGATTCAGCTGATTTTTATTTTCTTTATACTTGGTGGTATGTTTCCGATTTCCCACAAAGAACATATATTGCCTCTGTAATCTGAAAAAAAGAAAACGATGAATCAACACGGGATATTAAAATTACGGTGGTAAAACGGGTGAAGGTGTGCCAGAAAAAGTTGACATCCTTTTCCAGTTTCCGCATGTGAGTACATGCAACGGAATGGGTTCAGTGTTCTCACCTTACCGCTGGGGATCAGCTCAGCGTTATTGCTAATCTGAAAGCGAATCACCAGCAGGAGGCTGAGACAGTAGACTTCGATCTCATGGACTACACCTGAGAAAGTCCTTTGGTAGGTGAGAGGAGAGTGGGGTCAGCTCCTAAAGAGATGCATTGGCATATCTAATGGGAGATGGTGAGCTATCTATTGCCATTATGAGCCAGTGTAGGTCATCACGACTTGGAGCACTAAATTTCACTTTAGGACCTGCTAGTGAAAGAAGATCTATAAATCTTGGAGTGTGTCCACAGGAACTACAAAACCAATTAAAGTCTGGGAAACAGGCACTATGAATAAAAGATAAGGTGGCTGAATTTATCTACCTTAGATATGGAAAGCCTAGCTGGGGAATTAGACAAATTCCCATCCCCATGAATAGCTACTATAGCCCTCCCAGACCTGGAGGTGAGACCTGAATTTATTTATTTATTTATTTTTAAGATTTTATTTATTTATTTGAGAGAGAGAGAATGAGAGACAGAGAGCACGAGAGGGAGGAGGGTCAGAGGGAGAAGCAGACCCCCCGCTGAGCAGGGAGTCCGATGCGGGACTCGATCCCGGGACTCCAGGATCATGACCTGAGCCGAAGGCAGTCGCTTAACCAACTGAGCCACCCAGGCGCCCCGAGACCTGAATTTATTAACAGTCTTCAGTTTGTACAAAGGACAATGGCACAGGAGGTAAGTGTTCCTTTCATACCGGACTAAGGCGAGAGTGAGCACAAATGAACCAAGCAGAAGTGATTTAGATCAAGCATTTAGAGGAGGTTGGGCTTATTGGTTAATAACTTCGCATGAATTAATAGGAACTAGATTGAGGCTAAGGGTTCAGTATAGTGGAAAGGTGGGTGAGGGCAAAGGTGGGAGCCGAGAGCGGGCCCAATTGGGCTATTTTATAATTTCTAAAACAATGGACCTTAAGTGAATTAAGCACACGGGATGAAATGAACCATATTCAAAAAAAGATATTAAACTTTTGTCAAACCTGATTTATGAAATCAGGGTTTGCAGACCAGATAAATCTGGGAGTGGTTACCTGCTTTGCAAGGGGGTATTCATTCTAAGAGTCTCTAAATAGCATATTCCAACAACCGTTTTCCAAATATTTGACTTAGAAAGTTGTGGTTTTCTCATATACCTTTCAAGGATACCTCTTTATATGAAGTCAGGCACACCTGTAATCATGCGTTAATTACCAGTTCATTGGAGCACACAACTCTGGACGCCAAGAATAAGGCCAAAAACCAGCTGGTATGATCTCAATAGAGACCTGCATAGCCTTTTGAGATCTCTTCCAACCCTCTAATCCTTTCGCTTTCAATCACAAAAGCTAGAAGATAATTCCAAGTATAATCTTCACAACATCAGATATTAGGTTGAACCATATGAAACTGCCATTTTTGTAGGTCAAAACAGTCAAATAGCAGCAATCTCATATAGGTCAATCTAATACAAGAATTATTCCAGTAGTTTGTATAACCTATCTTCATCTTCACTAAAGCTAACAGCTTTAATATATTTAGTTGCTGGGTCAAAATATTGGACATATAAATGCCTATGCACATAAGTACTGAGAAAGTATAGGGTTGGGATTAAAGATGCATCTTGGGTAAACCACTGATCGGCATCTAGCTCATCTTTTATTGGACTAGACACTGGTGCCTCTTGTCTGACTTGAGGATTCCTCAGATTGTGGAAAGCAAGAAAAGAAGTCCAAAGGCCTGGTCTCTCAACCCATGGGAAATTCTGTTTGGGTAACGGGCCAAGGAAGAACAGGGGAAAATACAACAAAATTTGTATCATGTTACAAGTTTAGTGAGGAAGATCATAACAGAGCTGTGAGCAGAAAAACAAAGCATGTGGCCTCCTCCTTTCTAAAATATAGTATTGCTTAATGTGTCCTGCTTTCAAGATTCTAAGCGTAAGACAAGACACCAAGTACACATTGGAAAAGTCATATCTGCATAGTCATCTAAAATGAGACAAGCTTAGCTTAACTAAAAAGATTTTATTAACATAAAATGTTAAATATTTTTATGATCTGAGCTAATTCCAGCATGCCCTATAAGATTTAACACTATGCTGATGCGCAGACATCATGCTTCAGATTTCAATTAGAACAAAATATGATAATATTCAATTTTACATTTGAGGGTAATTGTATATGTTACTACACCATTTTCTAACTGGATTACTTCATTCTCCAAGAAGCTGAAAAAGACACCATTGGATCAAAAGGAAATTAGTTGCCCATATGCATTGTACGAAGGTACTAGGATTATTGTGTATTTACAAAATTTAAATACGTTTCATATATGGTTTTTGTTGCATTATAAATTAAGATATCTTTATGTAGAAGCTCTTGGATTCTGACAGAATGGAAGACTAAATGTAAATGGGTGCAGACAAAGCAATAGGTGAGGTGGTGTATGTTTGATTATAATATTGTTTCTAATAATATTGATAGATTGGATTTTTGAACACAGTTTTGCAGTTTTAGATAGATTTCTATGTTTAAAGACTCTCATATATGATAAAGTGTTCACATGAGACCAGCAAGAGCTAAAGATATACTATTATACATGAAATAATTTTTCTCTGTATAATACATTTAAAAAAACTTTTAAATAATTTAAAAACCATAATTCTTGCATCTGTCATGGTATGGTTTGGAACAGACATGCACAATGTCAGCTTTAAAAATCCTTTTAAAAACAGCCTGCTTTGTGAATCTTTTTTTTTTTTTTCCCTTGACGGCAGCTGCTTTCAAATGTAAAATCATTTAAAAGGGTAGGGGGAGGCGAATAAAAGTAATAAGGAAGCATAGAAAACATAGTCAAAAACCAATAATTGTGGTTCAGCTGTCTGGAGGTCCTCAGGTTCTGTGATATTTTCAGGTCTTCGCAATGGTGGGTTTCCAGGAGGAGTTGCCTAGCTTGAGACCAGACAACACAGCCCAAAGAACCTTCTCTTCCGTCTTCTAACCAAGGGGTAGGGAGTTAGATTTAGAAGGCTGCTGTCATCTGTGATGGGACAGAATGTACATATGAGTGAATTACAGACAAAATAACCTGGGTTTTATGAATTGGCTTTAAAAATCCACCATCTTTTGAATCAAGGTTTCTTGACTTCCGCACTACTGGCTGTTGCGGACCAGACAATTCTTCGCTGTTGGGGCTGTCCTGAGCACTGTGGCATATGGACCAGCATCCCTGGTCCTACCTACTCACCAGGTACCAGTAGCAGTGCCCTACCAGTTGTGACAACCAAAAATGTCCCCAGATAGCGACGAAATGTTCTTTTTTTTGTTAGGGGGAGGGGCACGTAGCCTGCGGTTGAGAACCGCGGCTTAGAATTAAAGGTAAGCTGCTTGGAGGCGCTCTTTCAGTTGGGGGAAGGGTAGCTTTTTAGAAAGAGCCCCTGCTTTGGAGTAAGGTTGGCCTCTTTTCTAAACCCACCTCTGCTATTTCCTAGCTCTGTGACTTTGAAAATGTAACTGGAAGCTTGCTAAGCTTCAGTTTTCCCGTCTGTAAAACAGGGTTTAATAATACTTACCTTAGATGAAGATTATATGAAATAATCTATGAAAAACATGAAGCTTGGCTGGTATCCTACGTGCCTAGCACAGAGGAAGCACTCAGTAAATACAGCTATTGTTAACTATTTTCCTTTACAGAGGACTATTGTCTTGCTTCCACTCACCTACTTTATGCCACGGGAAGAAGTTTCTCAACTATTCCTTGTTGAGTCTTTGCCTACCAATTTCTACAGATTTCTGTACACAAGGGCATTCTGAGAAGATTGCCAGCTGTTGAATTTATAAGTTTTCAGTTGAAATTTTTAGCACGATGACAAGGAGAGGAAGAAATAAACCAGTAAGCCAAATTCAGTTTAGGGAGCTGGGTTTTAAAGAAATAGTGCAGCCCAAAAGAGAGGTTGGGTAGAAATAGCCTGTTGCAGCAGAACCGGCAGTCTGGTCCTAGAGGCTGGAGAGGGACCACAGGATATGCCCTGGAAATTGCCAGTGAGGGCAACACTTGGACATGATCGGAATGGAGCGAGGCGCCACAAAATGGTTGGTTGGCTCTGGTAACTGTTAGGCATCTAAGCTTTTGCCAGCCCAGAGCAGAGCTAAGGGGCTCCCTCCTTTCCCCATCCTAACCTGGAGGATACAGGACCTTGGGAAGGAGCCCAGAATCAGGAATTGGATGAAGGGGTGGATAAAGTGAAAGATGTGCCCCACTTCAAGAAAACTAGTTTGTAGATGAGGGTGGGTTTTCTTGATTACTGAGTCTAGATCCTCAGTAAACTCTCAAGAACAAAAACAAGTTCTGGCTTCCCAGTCCTCTTACGTCAATTGTGTCCTCCAAGTGGTCTTGGGCTTTTCCTTCCCTTCCCCAAAGGCTGCCATGTGTCATACTTATTTGTAAATTAGCCTCCCTCACCAAGTGGACAGTGTTGCTTGGAATGGTGCCCTATGCTATACATTTAGATAGAAACAGAGTAGCAAGTCAGAGTCAGGGAAGAAAGCAGGTGCCCCAGCTGAGCACATCAAATTAATCAAACGCAGGGCACTCTCCCGCTCCCACAGATTAATATTCTCTCTTAAGATTCATATTCCACAAATGTGGAGAAAAACAGGACGCTCTTTGTCCTTTCTGTGATGAAAAGCATTTCACTATACTCTGGATGTCAACATTTTGAGACTAAAAATAGGACATCTCTCTTTTATACTTAAACCTGCCCCAAATAGTTAAGACTCGGAAAGTAGTGTCAAACAGCACATGTGAGCCTCATTTCTCCGGAGAATCTCTCAGGGATGAATCATGGTCTATTTAGAACAGAAAGAAATGATAACTCGCTGTCTCATCAGTTTTGACCCTTACTTTTTTAATCACTAAGTGACCAACAAACTTAACCTAACTGGAAATGGCAAAGGTACAGCAGACCCTGAAGAGTAAAGAATTTCATCTTTGGGTATCTCTTTGGATACTGACTATACTTCCTGAAACACAAGTTCCCCAGGAATTCAATGGTTCCTTGAACAGACTCACCAAAACTATGAAGATATTTATAGGGAAGAAAAATCTCCTTATTTCCATTTAAGACTTGGAAGATCTATTTCCTGAATGCCCATATATCCTTCCCTTTCTCCAAACATTTAAGAGATTTGGGGAGTGACCGAATGGGTATTTATATCGTGTAAACTGCATTGCTGATGTGTATTGTTCCCACTACATGAGGAAATGTCTACTACATGTTGTAATTACAAAGAAGCTGTATATGTGTATGCTGTGGCGGGATGTTTGCTCCCATGTTCTCTTTCTTATGTATGAAGAGCACACAGGTATTATGGGATTCATATCGACTGACCTTTGTATCTGTGCATTCATTACCGTGAATCAAAAAACCTTTTGTGCTATTGAAATTCTCACTCAGCCTTCTTTTCATATCTACCTATCTCTACATAGCTAGATAGATATACACATATACATTCACTTGTGAGTGCTACACACACACACACACAGCATTCACATGAATAGGAAGTGTTAGAATTGATGAGAAGGTGCTCAGATGTTAAGCAAAGGATGGGCTGCCTATTAAGGATGACTGCTGGTTTGGGGCATCTCTGTTGAGCATTTGTGACACATTTGCCTAGCTTGTCTGATCATCACCTAGGGTTGAGGTGACACAAAAGCTCAAAAATTCTTGGCAGAAATTCAGAGCAGCTTTCTACACCCTAGGAAGCGGACACCAGCAGTAAATGCTGAAATTCACCAGCAGTAAGTACGCCTAGAACGGTTTGGAGTGAATTCAACTCCAGGGAAAGATGTCTTTCCACATTGATTGAAATCCTGTCTCTGAAATTACGGGTTGCCAAAAGACTGTGAACAAAATGGAATGTTTCCCCCACTCGTTCTCAGCTTTCTGGGCTAATTCACCTGACCTTGCTGGGAAACCTTTGATTTTTATTGTGAATGTTTGAGATTTTATAGCATCTTTTCTCCAAAGTGCATGTTCTGAGACAGCTGTAACCAAGGACAGTTTTAGATGTGAAAATGAAAAGTGGAGAAAGGGAAAGGGAGGGGAGAAAGCAGAGTAGAAAATGAAAGAAAAGGAGAATATACAATTCAGCCATCAGCAAGTTCAAATCTTGGTCATTTGAAGCTTAATTCCTGGATACTACTAAAGCCAGGGACACCAGAATTCCCTAAGGCACAATGATACCATTTCTCTGTTGCTCAAATTTCTTTTGCTAATGCAAGATTTCTTACAAGGATGATGTGTTAAGAAACAGAAGGACATAAAAATAAGAAGTTTTCAAATAATCAACTGAGCATTTGAGTTTCAAGGTATGGTCTCAGATAGAATCAAGAGAAGTGCTCATAATGTAACTGTAGTTGCAAATTTCTATTCCAGAAAAAAAAGGAGACCTTCAGCTAACCCAGTGGTTCTCAAACATTAGCTGTATTAAGCATCATCTGAAGGTGTGTTAAACTACAGATCACTGGCCCTCCCTCCAGAGTTTCTGAATCAATAGGTCTGGGGTGGGGCCGGAGAATTTAGATTTCTTACAAGTTCCCAGAAATGCTGATGTTGCTGGTCCTGAGGCCACACTCTGAGAAGCCCTGCATTAATCAAAGGCCTTCTAAGGGCAGGTTCCATGTTATGTTGGGTGCTGGGGATTATACCTGATGGGTCCTAATTCAAAGGTAGTTCTCGGTCTCAAGGATGTTTGCTTGAGTAACTATGAAGCTTCATTAAAATGCCGTAAGAGAGATGCAGATACAATGCTATGAGAATTCCAAAGAGGGGAATTACTCCCAAGGGGAGAAGGAAGAAGATAATCACGGAAAATCATGGAGGTCTTGGTATTCGTGCTGGGCCACAAGGGATGAGGAGAACTTGTACATTTGATGAAGGGGGGGGGGATGGGCTTTCTAGATGGGGAGAACAGTGTGAACAAAGTCAAGGAGGTCAGAGGCAACTTGAATTTGGGTCCAAGTAAACAGTCTAGTCCGGAATGAAGGGTGGACTGAAAGATGTATGAGGGAGGGAATAGTACAAAACAGAAATACATAGAATTCTCTAAATATGACCGTGACTTCTCTTGCCTCTCCGGCTTTACACATGCCATTCCTTTTTCCAGAGAAGTCCTCCCTTCTTAAACAAATGCCAGTCCCTCCAAGATTAACTTGTAACTTTCTTTGACTTATTTCATAATGTTCTTCCAATTTTCTTCTCAGTCCCCTTTGTAAACTGCAGTTCTTCTCCCTCAAAACTTAAACTGTGGTATTCCAGGGCTCTTCTCTATGCACACACTCCTTGAGTGGTGTCAACCATTCCTAAGGCTTCAATTACCATTATGCCGATGATGTTTAAATATGTATTTCCAGCCTCCCAGTTTACACATCTCACCTCAGCATAAGACTTGTACTCCTGCTATTCACCACTGAACATCGCTCTTGGAGTCCCTCCATCTCCAAAACTTCAATTGTCTTCTATCTCTACTGCTCCTCCTCTGTTCTCTCTGACTTAGTGAATAGACACCAGCATTCACCCTGCTTTCCAAGTCAGAATCTGGGTTTTATCCTTGATTCTGTCTTTTCTCTTATGCAGCCCATCCAATTGTTCATATTCTCTTCTCCGACCCCCTGGCTTTCGGTCAGACCTTAAGCATTTCTCATCTGGATTATTGCAACTGCCTCCTAATTGAATCCCTCCAGTGGCTTCAGGATAAAGTCCAAACCTCTTAACATGAATTATAGGGGTCTTAATGATACAGGCCCACCTACTTCTCTAGTCTTTCATGCCTCTTTTCTAACCACTTTCCCAATGAATGAAGTGCTTGTAGTTCATCAAAATGCCCTGTTTTTTCATCTCCTCATATATCTTCAATATCCAGAATCTTCTGCCTAGACTCTCTTTTTTCCCCCACTTCTTTTTTCTTTTTCTTTTCTTCATCTCTTTCTTTGGCTAGCTCTGATTCATCCTCAGAAATCTCAGCTCACTTTCCAAAAAG